TTCATTTTTCTTTATTCTAGTTACTTCTCGCACTCTTTTCAGACTATTCCACATATGATAAGTTGATCCAGTAAGTTAACCCAATACTGTCTCAAAAAAAGTAATGAAAGTAGTGAAAAACTTCTCCGATTCTGTAGACGTTTTGAAAATGTAGTTTGATCGGTGGTTCAGTTACGATTACGGCTTATGCTCGTCCAAAAGACAACTGAATCTGTGCTTATTTCATGAAAATATCCATATGGTCACCTTTGATCAATATGAACTCAGGACAAATCACCCTAAAGCCATATCACGGCACTCTTCATGGATTATCATTTCAGTGAGAAATCAAACTAGAGTTTATCGCTGAGATAGTTTTCTAAGACGATGTGGAACCGTGTTCATCAACACAGTCATAGTGTCTATCAATCAATCATTTGAATGATCTCACGAAGTGATTGAAAATTTTTGCGTGTTGTTATCAAGAATCGAAGAGATCTTTGCTCATCACCTCCTCGATCGCACCCCGTACACATTACATTCGATATATCGTAGTAATAGTGCTACAACCACATCTGCATGATTTTACAACAGCGGTGATTACAGTAAAGGATCGTAGAACACTCAGCAAACGTCGAATCTTCTCTCAATAATTCGCAATATTCAGCTCATTTTAACAAATGTTTGAGCACAATACAGATTCTTAGGTGATAAATTAAGAAAGTAAATATTCAATTGGGACGTTTCAAATGAAAATAATGATTGTTCGATTGTGGGCTTGTTTAATTTCAAAGAAGATGTTTACATCGAAATTGAGGCGCAAATGCTGCGACATGACCGAGATAATCCGACAGAAGCATTCGCACATGTACAATTTATGCATTATCGAGAGCAAGTGTGAGCAACATGAAATAAACATTTTGGTCAGACGTTGAAAAGTGCAGTTTCATCGCATACTGAAGTGGAACGCTAATTGAATGATGAAACTGATAGTTTTTAGGTTACGGTGATTTACAAAGTTACGGTCACCCGAATCAAGAGAGGACACCTATTGATCAGATGATCAAAGAGGGTACACGATTCACACAAGCTTATTCGGCCGACAGCATGTGCTCACCGAGTCGAGCTGGCTTCATGACGGGTACGGTAATTTTTGACGTTCTTCTGTTAGCTTCCACCAATTATAAAGTAATTTTTGCTTTATTCTATGCTTGCTTTTAGTCATAAGTCGTTGAATTTTATTGGATGCTATCATTCAATGCACTCTCATCGTTCATAATTAGGATTCTGTGCTATCGTCTTAGTTATTTGTATGATGATTCTCCGAAAGATGTGCTTGGAAGTTACCTTGTAAGTAAAAGATAATGACTGACACATGCGAGCATTCAGTTACGCTTACCGTTCAATGTACACTTCAAATTTAAGCAAAAAACTATGCTGATTCATTTGCGTATTCGTTACGCAAAGTGAATTATGAAGTATGCAGCAACAAAATTATTGTTAAAATCAGATTTGTTGTGAAGGTGAACACTGAATGAATGAATGCTTTAAGGTCGATTACCAATACGTCTCGGTATAACCGGAGGTGCACGAGTGTTCTTACCTCAGGACATCGGCGGTTTACCGAAGAATGAGGAAACAATGGCAGAAATGCTGAAACGATACGGTCAGATTTTGGGATTATTTCCATGAACGAATCCGAGTGTCGACACACATCTTCGTGAATAAGAGTTGAGATTTTATAGATGCATAGTGCTTGATGACGGGAAAAGGTCCGCCAATTGGCTCTGCCTATATGTATGAATGAGATATGAATCGAACCATCGAACCACTAGAAATCGAGCAAACAATGCGCTGATTCCAGTTGAGCTTTTGAAACGAAACGTGAGTTTTTAGTTCAGCATGACATCAATTCAGAGTATTTCAGGGTATTCAACAGGTATGATCGGTAAATGGCACTTAGGTATCAATCGAGAGAACCAAACCGACGGCACTTATCTACCATCGCAACGAGGTTTCGATTATGTCGGACTCAATCTGCCCTGGACGAATGCCTGGGAATGTGATACGTCCAAGGTACACCAGCATTGCATAACATACCTATAGCTGCTTTATGTAANAGTGATAAGCATGCATTGGTTCTCGTGAGCAATGAATTGATAGCGAAATGTTTGAAACCAAATCGAGTCACACAATCATATTCATGCAGAACATATTCTGATCAGATGCATGAGTGCTGAGAGAAAACCAGGCGATTCTTTGACTATCTTCTTTGAGATAGTCCCATAATCGCTGTAAAATCTGTATCGATAGTCAAAATAAGAAGATGTCCGTTGAAAACAAGTTGTCATTAATTCCGTGAAAATGAGCCATGTCATTCAAGAACTCAATCATCATCAGTACCCTAATGAATGAGTGTGCTTTCAGATATTCGAATGAACACGGATATTCATAAGAAACCGTTCTTCTTCTATTTCTCATTCCCTCATGTTCACAGCGCTCAGTTCGCCAACGAGCGTTTCTTGCACAGATCCGTTCGAGGTAATTCCGTATCAAAACATTCGCCATTCCCTTCCGTATCGCTTCATTTCAACTGTTTTCTCATCTAAACATTATAAGTCTGCCTAATTAATGTCGTAAACACTAATTTTTATGCAGAAATCGTTTGGATTAACTGAAGAATATTCCATTTATTGATTCCATTAAGCAATTCAATGTCATTAAACAGCTAAAATTGTGACGAAAGGATGACCGAAGCGAACATGCCTAATTTCTTCTCATGAACATTCTATTCCACCTTTTTGGAATCAACATCTATTCATTTGAAATACTCGTGCAAATAAATAGAGTTCAGGTTTGTTCGGTGATAATATCAACGAAATGGGATGGGCTGTTGGTGAGGTGCTGCAGAGTCTACGTGAAGCTGCAATTGAACGTCAAACTCTGGTGGTATTGATGTCCGATCATGGGCCACATCAAGAGTTGTGTTTGAATGGTGGTAGCACGGCTGGACTGAAAGGTTCGCTTGTTGAATGCCATTGTTGTCATGCAGCTTAAATGCCGTGATTAGAAACGCTGATAATGTGATGAGATTGGCTGAGATTTGTGTTGCTCACACTCAAATAGTACTACTGATGTGAGGACAGAATTGATTTGAAGTAGTGTTGTGAAGTTGAGTGGATGAATAGTAAGTGCTGTTGAAATTTCAGGAGGTAAATCGAACAGTTTTGAAGGCGGATTCAGAATTCCACTCGTCAGTTGGATGCCAGGCACTGTAAGAGCTGGTGTCACATCACATGAAGTGATCTCGGCAATGGATCTGTTTCCAACATTCGAAAGAATGGCTTCAATGGGGGTAAGTCAATAGTGCTGAAGGGAACCTCAACAAGCGATTGATTTGATGTTCACAGTGAAGTTATTGACTACATAAGTTAGCAATTGCAGAGAGTGTTTCATCAACGACCCATTTACTTCGATGGCGTCGATGTTGGCCCACATCTTCTGGGGCATACCACAGGCAGCAAAGGAACGCATCTTGCACGCACACGACCGATCTATTATTATTGTAATGAACATCTGATGGCGATTCGATATGGCCATTTTAAGGTATCCAAATGCGATACTTTTGCAATCTGAAATCATCAAATCCTCAAAGATCTCTTTATATCCATTAACTCNTTTTGCCCTGGTGGCAAACCAATTGATGATTGGTTAGTATTCGTTCATTTGATGGAAACTGCAAATTGAAATTTTACGTTGTACACCTTTGCAATTGTGCATGACTTTTTGACGGAGGATTCGCATGATCAGTTTCGTTTTCGATCGAGAACGATGATAACTTCATCGAATCACTCGTGTCACCTGTTCTCATCGATTTATTACTCGCTCTTAGAAACACATCTAAAATAACCCATCAAATGCACATTTGCAGGTATGTCTCACAGAAATGTCCAGAAGAGCATCTCAGAACGCATGAACCTCCGCTGGTGTACGATCTGAATGTAGATCAGTACGAAATGTACGCGTTGAAAGAAAGTGATCCAAGGGTGCACGAAGTTCGTGCAAAGGCGAAATCCTTACGGAGAGACCATATGAAAACAATCATTCCGGTTGAGCAGCAATTAGGTTGGCTTTTATGAGTGACTAATAAGTTATCGTGGATGGTCGGGTGTAATGGATGTGAGAAATATTCGGCTGATCTCAAAATTTTCCGCTATTTCGTTGGACGTGCCTTTTTTTTCAGTGACTTTTTTAGTGTTTCCATTGCCACAATATTTACGTCTGAGCGTGTGCAAACAAACAATTTGAGAAATGAGTACTGATTCAACTGGATCCCTGAAGCACGTGTCCAGTTCATGCCAATTATTTCGCGCTTATTACAGGTAGTTTTTCGCCGAACGTACTACCGTGTTGTAATCCACCGTTATGTGAGTGTGATCTGTTGAGTGATGAGCGAATGGGTGTTCGAAGCAGCGAATCTCATCATCACCATACCGATCATCATCATCATCACCACCATAATATGCACACTCACGACCACTTCAGTCATCAAGACACAAAGCCAAAAAGTCCGCATCTCAATCGACCATTACTTGCGTCAGCACTCAATGAAATATTTTTGACTAATAAGTTCAGTTCAAATCGTAAATCTGCCAATGATGACAGCAATAAATCAATACGAGGTGAATATTCCTATGGTCAACTTCGTTCTTTCGTCTTTTACGGTGTCCGATCGAATGATTCTTCTCAACGAAAACAACTCAACAACCTTTCATTAGCCTCGAAATCATTTGTATCACTTTCAGAATCCACTCGGGAATCACTGGACGACGTGATTGTATTGGATGAGAAGTTGTCTCGAAAAAGGGATCATCAGATTGACGATTCTTCATTATCATCTTATCTACGGCGATGAAGCTGTATTATTGAACCATTGTGTTGTACACAGAAATCGATATCGAACCTAATGAGTAAGCATCACTTGATCGTTTATTAGTGCCACGATTGTGCGTTAATGCCGAATCAGACCAAACCGCTCATGATGACTTATTTCTTCAATGATCACTATCAATGAGCAATCGAGAATATTCAATTCTTACTAACAGTCCATCTAAATTTCGCTTTCTGAACTAATTCCTGTTTTGACGCTGATCAGGTTCCTAGAGAAACGATTATTGAAGCCTAGGCTTACAACAGATAATCAGCAGATAACTCGAAATGTCTCATGATTTCATCAGTAGAGGTTCACTATGTGAAATTTTATCAGCACACCCAGTTTCAAATACACCATATGACAGACAGAAGATCAGTGAACGGAAGTATGAGATATATTTGTAGCGAAATCCCAGATGGATTTCTTGAGTTCTAATAGATGACCACCTTTATTCACAAAAACACTTGATGGTAGAAAATTCATGGCGCAAGCTATAATACGTATTTGATGAGCATGTTTGTGGGCTGAACGATAGCATTCTACTCATAGATTCAATAAATGTATGATGTTCGAGTTGATTGTGATAATACCGAATGCGTGTATTGTTATTCATTTGCGTGTATGTAAAGCGTCAAATTTACGATTGTTCATTTGTGATTTGTTTGTTGATATGAACGTTTATTTATTGACTGACTGCTTATTTATTGTATTTTGGATATGGATGTGTGATAATGATACGATGAAGTATGTAGCGTGAACGTGCTCACGAGCACATATAATATACAAACGAATGATCTCATCAGATGTGAAACAAATCTGTTTGATAAACGTGTCCATTGTAAACGTGTTCCTCCATCGATCACTTTTTTGTATCGCCATTTTTTTCAATGAATATTTCTTCGTTGAACGAATCAGTGTTCTTTTTCGCCACACAAACCAACCACTGAATGGAGAACAGAATTCCTGACATACTAGTATTGCTATTCATGTGGTAACTGAAATGGAAAAACGAAACTGCACTGCAGTGAAAGCAACGGGAATTCTGAAAAGAGCATTTGCATAAACACAAAATTTCAAGTTAATACAGACGGTTTGGCTTACGCCAAACTGCACTGAATAATTGAAGTTGTTTTCAAATGATTCTAATACCCGTAGAGATCGGTGCTTTGATTTCAACAAATTGGTTCGTTATCAACGATTTCCGAGTCCTTTGATTTGTGTAACCCAACTCAAACTTGAATAAAATGACCACATAATTTCATATAAGACAGTGAACGCGAATCGTAAGATATTTACGTAACATAATTAAAACTATCTAATTAGTTCTACAAGATGTGAATAATCAAGTACAGGAACGGTTACAATGATGTAAGTAAGGTATCTGGTGATTGCTGATAATTGAAAGTACAGCGATGATTGCTCCGAAGGAGTGGAGCGACTGGATTGTGGATTGAGATAAATGATATGATAATTGCATACACGTTGTATATTTGGAACTGAATGCAACAAACCGTTGATTATGGTTAAAACAAGTGATGACTTTGAGAAATATGTGGAAGGGAGATTGTTATGAATGATATTATGATGACTGCGTGGAATAATCTATGTATAAATGTGTATTTGTAACGTCTACGATAATGATTATGTATAAGTGCGTTTTGATTACAGTTTTGTGGATTGATATGAATGGATTTACTTAGATTTGCTGATGTGATGATTACTATCGATGGATTTGATTTGTTTGGATGATTTGGCCAGACGTCTGCTTACGATCAGTTTCTTTGTTAACATGGCGATTTATCGACAGTCGCAAAACGGGTAGCAATTGAAATGAAGTACATGAGAACGATGATAGTATGAAGCATGATATATACAGTGAAATAATGACAGCGAACTGGAATCAACGAGTGCACAATAAATTATTTTTATCAGCACAACGCAACAATTCATTAGTTCAGTATGAGGTTTCAGTCATGAATTTGATGATTTCAAGTTAATAGTAATGCTACGATGACATTGCATACCTCCAGCATGTACCAGTTCTTCGTCGGATTTTAAAAGCTACAAATGTAATTTAGTGACAGTTTCACACATGTGGAGAGGTGTACTCTTCCAAATTTTTGGAATTGTTACCATGTATCAGAATCTTTACTGAATCTCCGAATTTCTGATGAGAAAGCCAAAACAAAACGCCATACGTTTTCAGACGGTTGACCTCA